ATGTTGACCAGGATGGTCTCGATCTCTTGACCTCGTGATCCACCCGCCTCGGCCTCCCAAAGTGCTGGGATTACAGGCTTGAGCCACCGCACCCGGCCGACATAAAATTTTTGAACAAAACCTTTACGTTAGGTTTGGCTTGATATAAAGAAAAAGGATCCCTTCTCAGCTCTTGGTCCTCCAAGAGGAATGACATGCCAGGTATAACAAATCTACCATTGGGTCAGGTAATTTGCTATTATATGGTTTAGAATTAACTCTTTATTTACTTCCCGGAGGTGGGGAAATTCTCTCTTTGATCTAAGTATTCTGAGTTAATCCTAGGTAAATGTGAATCATTATGTCAATTCCCTATCTCCCGGGTCATCTTAACTTTGTAGCTTAATGACATGAATATATGCAGCAAAAAGACTTTGGTCTAAATATCAAAGTTTATTGAAATAAAATATAATCTATAATAAAAAATACTACAGGTGTTATTCACTGGTTACAGTTTTAAGTATATTAACAAAAACAGCCAACATTTTAATCCAACAATGACACTATTTTTGTGATACAATAACAAACATGGAAGTAAATTTTGAAGAATACTGAATAATTCTGTCAGAAATATTTTATACTTTCCCATCTATGTATGCCTTTTTGGGAATATCCTCCCAAAGTGAAACTTTTGAAACTAAACACATTATTTTTAAGAATTAAGTCATTTTAGAATAATTAGTATTTAAAACAATAAATTCATTTCACAGAAATTCAGCTCAACCCTAAGCTGAGGAGATGGTTTTAGGTATCTTTATTAAAAAAAATGTATTTCAATACACTTTCCTATGAATCTCTAGGGTTGCTATTATTCCTTAATTGAAATTAAAGCTGGTCATAAAGTAAAACAGATGAATTATTTCAAAAGTAAAAAGAGTATTAAGATAGAAAATGAAAGGAGAAAAAAATAGGCACTCATATACAATTTATATATTTAAATGCTTTGAGAACTCAGTAGCCAATCTCGGCCTGGCACAAAAAGATCTTTGATATGTCACAGCAAATTGACCCAATTAGTCCAACAAAAAGTAGAGAAAGAAAACTTGTCTCTCTTCCTTGCTACATTTCAAGATAATTGTCCACTTGCCACTCCTCAAAATATGTGCCTCAATCCAATTGTTCTGCACAATTCAAGGAAAAAGATTCAGATGCACTAGCTTTGGGAAATGACTTTCGGGGTACCTCTGAAGTTTCACAAGCAAACATGATCCATTTTGCTGACTGCTGTGTAGCAGTCATATACCAATCTCCTGTTATGTTGTCCTACTTGTAATGTGTGAATCTGTAACAAGTTGACATTTATTTAGCAAGATAACAAAAACCTCTGAGGGTTTTTCAAAACCTCATCTTTAAAAATCTGTAAAACAAAGATACCCTATGTACCCTGAAAAAAATGCTTATTTCACATAATATGTGAAAAACAATAAAAATTCTGACAAAATTGAGAGACATACAACACAGGTCTTCAAGGATTAAATACCAATGTTAGTCTTAAAATATACTGCAATTATGTTTACAATGTAAGATTTGTTAAAAAATTTTTAAAAACACATTGCATTAGTTAGAACTGCTTTGTAAGGTATTTCAGTTACAAGGCCTATTTTGACAGGTCACTGATTTGAGAACTTTAAAATGGGAATTTCAGTTTCTTATTTTTATTTATTTATTTTTTTGAGACAGTGTCTCATTCTGTTGTTCAGGCTGGAGTACAGTGGGGCAATCTTGGCTCACTGCAACTTCTGCCCTCTGGGTTCAAGCGATTTGCGTGCCTCAACCTCCTGAGTAGTTGGGATTACAGGCATATGCCACCATAGCTGGCTAATTTTTTTTTTTTTTTTTCGAAATTTTTAGTAGAGACAGGGTTTCAGCACGTCGGCCAGGCTGGTCTCAAACTCCTGACCTCAGGTGATCCACCCACCTCAGCATCCCAAAGTGCTGGGATTACAGGCATGAGCCACCGCACCTGGCCAGTTTCTTGACTTTTTATTTACAGCTATAAAATAATTATGAGAGCCGAAGGAGCCAGGATCACCTTCCAAAACATTTATTTTGTGCATCCCTAATTTATGAGGCATTCTTGCTTCTCAAAGCAGGATATTACAGTGCAGATTAAAAGTGGATATTAAAGTTAATGGTGACAAATTATTAAGTAGTGTGAATAAATTCTTAGAATTCCAGATAAAGTAGAGAGACTTAATGGCAGAATAAGAAGTCTACCGGGGTTCAAAACTTAGGTTTTATATTTCTGCCATGGTATCTCAACACTTTCTCTGGGATAGTATCATGGCCTAAAAAACATCTGTATTAGGCAGACAAGTCTAAATCTCCTTTCTTAGGACAACAGGACAAAAATGAACTTGAGGCAATAGTTGGAAGAATTTTACCCTGTTTTTCAAGTTTAATTTTCTTGATATCAGAAAAGTAAAGTTAGAAACTAGAATCCTTCATGTAAAAAATATGTATGCATATCACAATTTATTAAACTCTAATTTCTAACAGCAGAAACACCAGGATTAAGTAAGAACATGCATGAACTAAAATTTAGATAGATATTCAAAATAAGTTAAATTTACCAGAGTCCTGCATTTGGCCTCTCCCATGCCATTATCTCTATTTTGCAATATGTTTTGTTCAGGAAGCCTCTGATTTTAATATTTAAAGTGTCACCTGAGAAGAGTAACCTCAATTCTTCATGTTTTCTCAACAGTTTTAGAAGTGTTGGACATCATTAACAAAAGATAATAAATTATCAGAGAATCTAGGAACTCTAAGATTCTGACGAGTTCCTTTACCATTTTCAGTTACTTTCTAAAAGATATTTAACAACAGATTATCAAATAACATTTTACACTAAAAACACAATTTATATAGCCCTAAAATAATAGTATTTGAGAGATATAAATGAATTCGACCAATGCAAACAAAGTTTATATACTGTATTAGTAATTTGATACTACTGTACTTTATTCTGCGGAGAAAAAGGCAAAGAGAATCTAAATATTTAGATCTTTGAAAGATACTAGAAAAAATAGATTTTTAAATGCTTCTGATACTCCCAAAATACTCTTGATTTTGACTCTATAGTCTATAGAACACAAAAGCAACTGTAAAATGCATTTGGGAAGAGATGATACCATACTCAAAGAAAAGATAATTCTACAAATTTTGACAGCAGTAAGAAAAAAACTGATTTAAGATACATTTTGTTGAGAAAAAAGTGTGCACATTTAAGAACACAGGATGTGTAATATTTGTGATAACTTAAGTCATACTTTGTGCTTATACTATGCCCTGTATTCAGGTGTGCAAAACACTTAACCAAAAAGAGCATCCTTCACATATTTAGAGTACATTGAGGCACAGAAAGTTTGCCCAAGGCAAAATAGGAAGTCAGGTTTTTAGACACAAAATGATCTAGACTTCTTCATGTCCAATTCCTTAAAATACAAATTGTAGACTATTTGTAATGCCTCCATTTTGTTTTTATCAAACATTAGTTACTTTACTATTATGTTTATACATAAGTACTGTGTGATAGGTAATGCCCACAAGCTTTTTATTATGTTTTAAAATAACTAGTGCATGGAACAGGAAAACTTAAATGTAATAAATTTGCTTTTTCCTTTAAACTTAAATAAATGACTTATTTGAGGACAGTTCTGGAAATTCTTGCCTGAATTTTTCTCCAGCAAAATTTTAGATATGTGGTTTACATGTCAACATTAATATACAAACAATTATTTTCTTAAATATTTATTGTCCTTCTAGTTCTTTCCTCTCATGATCTGTCTCTTAGTGAACTGACTGATTCATTGGAAAAAAAAATGCTTTCTGCTGACAAGTGGGATGGGAAAAAGAAAAAAGAAAAAAAATGCTAAGAAGGTTTTGTGCAAGTACAAAATGGTTTATCTTGGGTTCAGTCAACTAGCCTCTGATATTAACTTGCTTAGTTAAGCCAAGATCAAGAAGTATGAGAAAGAACTTGAAACATGAGAAATAAATTTGAAACATAACATGGGATAAGTAGTCAAAATTAGAAATGTGAGACAAAAAAAACAAGACATATTCCAAAGCCTAATCCTAAATTTAAATCTATGCTTCATTCAAGTCTGAAACTGACCTTGAAACATGGAAGACGTTACTTTGCCTAAGCACACTGAACCAGTGTAAAACGAACGCAATTTTAGCTGCCTCATACTGCTTAACGTGTATATATACACATGTATTCTTAAAATGGTGGTTCTTAAATATGAAGGAAAGTTTTGAATTCTTTTGAGAATCTAACAGAGGTCATGAAAACTTGTTCAGAAACACACACACATACAGTAAGTACTTTTAAGTATTGATCATGTACTATGTATCACAGCATTGTGGATGCAATGGCATTAGACATGAAGAAAAATTTTGTATTTTTAATAAAGATTGGTTACTAACCTTAAGGAATAGACTCTGAAAGTAAAAGGAAAATGCAATGACCGCATTTCTTCATTCATCTGCCTCCTTTTCAAATCTAATGATGATCTGATTGCTGCAAATGTATCCCTAATCTAGCCTATAAACAAAACAAAAATAAGTTCTAACTTTTGTTAGCACTGTACATGTAATAATTTTCAAGTATTACAAAATACTGGGAAGGAAAGCCTTTTAATATACCACTATCAAAATCCTATATACCCAAACTAGCAATGAAATGCCTGGATATATAACGTTACCTTGGGCAAAATTTAAGAAAATAAAGACAAAATCATTCTAAATTATTATTATTTTTTTTTTCAGATGGAGTCTTGCTTGCTCTGTTGTCCAGGCTGGCATGCAATGGCATGATCTCAGCTCACTGCAAACTCTGCCTCCTGGTTTCAAGTGATTCTCCTGCCTCAGCCTCCCAAGTAGCTGGGATGACAGGTATCTGCCACTACCCTTGGCTAATTTTGTATTTTTACTAGAGACAGGGTTTTGCTATGTTGGCTAGGCTGGTCTCAAACTCCTGATCTTAGGTGTTATACCTGCCTTGGCCTCCCTAAGTGCTGGGATTACAGGCATGATCTAAATTCTTTATAATCTTCAAGGACATGAATTCAGTATCTCTGAAAACTTTGTTTTAATACAATTGAACATTTCATTCTGCCTCCAACAGTAATCAAAGCAAACATTTATTTTATCATTATTATTCTTGCTATATCCAACTAAATTCCAGGAATGTAAGAGTCTGACTTGGAAGTATTACATAGAAAAAGGCTGAATTAACAAATTAAATTTTTTAGTTTTTCCTTCTAAGTATACATGACATCTACTTATCTGATAGCAGCACTGCTGGTTTTGAGTGAGTTTTGTTTTCTTCCAGAGGGAATGCAGTATGGCAGTATTATCTTTGGAACAAATTAAGAAGATAGTAACAAATAACGAAGAAATACTTCTACACATATATTTTCCGTGGGCAATAAATAGATAAGTATATAATTATGAAAAAATATGCCTCAACTATGCTTTTTAAAATTTCTCAAGGTTTACTGGTTTTTCTTATTAAAATACAATGCAATATCACTACTATCTATCCTGGGAAAAACAAACCCTGAAGTTCGAGTTTCCTCCTTCAGCCAATAGAGTGATATCAAGAGTAAACTTGGATTGAGGTCAACCTGTTTGAGCCAACAGAGAGTTCTGTAGTATATCTGGTTATTTTACTAATGTATACATATTCTAGGTTATTATCAAGATACTCATCAAATATTTTCTATCAAAATTTTATATCCCAAACAGGTTCTTGGATGATTTCTCATGCTACCACAGGAAATTTGAAGAAATAACAAATTGTGTAACAGAATAGACATGCAATATAGAGGACATAAAAGATACAGCTTGACCCTGGATTTTTCCCTTAGAATAATTCCTTCCATAAATAAGACTTTATTTTTACATATAGATTTGTCCTATAACTGCTCTTGGATCATAAAGTTAATGACATAGTTGAAAAAATCTAGACCACAAATTTTTCTGGTCTTTTGTCACGCTAGACCACACACACAAAAAAACATTCTCCAAGTGGATGCTCAGGTCAGATTATGATGCTCTTAAATAAAGCAATTTACTGAAGCTTAGAATGTAAAGAATGCAACTATTTGCAGCAGCAATAGTCTTTCAAAAATGACTAAAACAAACTTTTAAATATAAGGCATATAAAACAGACTATTAAGGATAGTTTTCCAAACTATATCTAGAAATACAGGAAAATATGCATTGCCTCATAATAAAGTTAAATAAATATTATTTCTGAGTTCTATAAACACTCTAAGAGGTTATAGTTTTATTTGGTTCCCATAAGTTAAAAAAACTGATTGCTTTTACATAAATTCCTCCAAAATCCTTCCTACTATCAGATTTTTTTTTTTCTTTTAAGATGAAGTCTTGCCGGGTCACCCAGGCTGGAGTGCAGTGGCGTGATCTCAGCTCACTGCAACCTCCAACTCCTAGGTTCAAGCGATTCTCCGGCCTCAGCATCCCAAGGAGTTGGGATTACAGGCACGTGCCACCAGGCCTGGCTAATTTTTGCATTTTTAGGAGAGACAGGGTTTCACCATGTTGGCCAGGCTGGTCTTGAACTCCTGGTCTCATATGATCCGTCCATCTCAGCCTCCCAAAGTGCTGGGAGCCACTGTGCATGGCCCTCTCAGATTTTTATTAATGTCGTTTCACAAGACACAGAGATTTTCTCTAACTTCCTTTCAGAAATGTGCTTTGTCATTGATTTTAATAAGTATACTTAATTTTCTACCAATGAACATGACTTAAAATTTAAGGTTCAAGGTAATTCTAGAAAAAGGTAGACACTGAACTGCTTTCTACATCCCCATATTTACAAGGCCTAGCATCCACTGTGCTTTCCTCCATACCCTCACTTAATCACATTGTCAATAAATAGTAATTGTGGTCCAGGTTACCTATGATAAAGACTCCAAAATTCCTCAAAATTTTACAATACTACAAAGTCATTTATACTGATTTTGATATGTTATAAGTATTAGTGTTATGTAACTTTTTGCTATTGGAAAAGAAATACAAATCTTTATTTTTGCTATCTAAATTAAATCTAAGCTCCATTTTCAGTTCTCAAGATAATATCTAAAATGTACATTCCTAAATAAAGGTAAAGCTGTTCAAGGGCTGAACTAGTCCAATATACAATTAAGGGTTACTTATTCCTATTATTTTATTTGTTTTTGCTTTTTGAATCCCTATATTAAGACCGTGGTTTCTCATGGATTAGATCATAATTTAACAGTGTAAAGTTTCAGAAACTATTGTGCTAATATTTAGATTTCAGGAAGGAATCAGACTAAATCAATTACCTCCATTCATTGTTAGAACAGAAGATATAATAGCTTACTAACTGATGAGTTATGAATGTCACTATGACACAAAATTTGCTGTGATTTGCTTATCTGGCTACAAGTGCAGTATTTTTTATGGATGACAACACACAGCATTTCCATCTTGTAACATGAAACTCCAGCTCATAAAGAGTGTATTGTGTGACTTGAAAAAGTCTGATTGTAGCTAAGTAACAACTTTCCCCTGAAAAAACATGAACAAAATCCATTGGGAAATCAGGCACAGACGGTATTGATCGATTTTCTTCATTTCCTCCTGTGGTTTTGTTTATCAAGACATATAGGTGGTTCCAACAGAAGCCAACACTTGTTACAAAATAACACAGCTATTTTTTTCCTTTTCTTTTTCTTTATCTTTTTCTCGTGGTTCCTTCCTCTTACGTTCACTATTCCCAGATTGTCTTCCACTTGATGGAGAGGCTTGTGTTGGCTGGCCCTGCTTTAAGAAAAATACACAGGAAGAAATTACTCCAACTATTCTAAGGGACTTATTTATGGTTATCTAGGAGGAAAAACAGTGAAAGGAATCACTGATGATAAAGAAGCTATTGATATACAGATTTGTTATACTGCATGGTATCTGAGCAACGGCCTCTACCATTCTGGATATAATATATTCATTATTCTTTTTTTTTTTTTTTTTTTT